AAGTTTTCCCCGGGAAGCGGGGCGGGAGAGATACTGATTTTTAAAAACCCCCTGGAAAACCCTAAGGGATAGTACCGAATTGCAAAACGAAAACCTCCTACAAAAGAAAAAGACTTGGCAACGATGCCCCCCCCCCAAGAAAAGAGGGGTCATAGCACGTTAAGAGACCAACAATAAGTGTCAGGGGCCCGAGATGTTCAACTGCCCCCCGAAACACATAAGGGGGATTACCAACAGACCCTGGCAGTCTTCAAGGGGAAACTGGACAGCACCAAAGTCAGTTCTGATCAGCCGGGCGTTGGCTCGTACGTTAGTTTGCGTGCAGCCACAGCAACAGCCTGGTTGATTCAGGCTCTGATCCATCAGGGGGCCCTGGTCACAGCCCGGGCCGCGGGGCGTTGACCCCGGAAACTCTCTCAGGTAAACTCCAGGAAAATACTTGAGGGTCCAAAACTGTTTACGCTATCAAGTCCCCCCTAAAAAATCGTTTTCTGTGAGTTTGGTATTGGGGATCTATAAATGACGTATTGATGCTTCTGTACCGTTGTTCCTGTTTGGTGTACCGTTGTTCCTGTTCCGTATACCGTCGTTCCTGTTCCGGGGTACCGGGTTTTTCTTTGATACTTGAACAGTTTTCCTGTTCCGTGTAACGTTGTTCCTGTTCCGTTTTACCGTTGTTTTCCCGTTCCGTGTACCGTTGTTCCTGTTCCGTGTATCGTTGTTCCTGTTCCGTGTACCGTTTTTCTTGATCCTTGTACAGTTGTTTCCGTACCGAATGCGTTGTTCCTGTTCCGTGTACCGTTATTCCTGGTCCCTGTACTGTTGTTCCTGCTCCATAAAATCGTGTTCCTGTTATGTGTACCGTGTGTCATATTTTGTGTACCGGGGTGTCATATTCTGTGTACTGTGTGTCATATTCGTGTACCGTGTGTCATATTCTGTGTACCGTATGTCATATTCTGTGTACCGTTGTTCATATTCTGTGTACCGTGTGTCATATTCTGTGTACCGTGTGTCATATTTTTGTGTAAACCCTGTGTCATATTCTGTGTACCGTGTGTCATATTCTGTGTACCGTTGTCATATTCTGTGTACCGTGTGTCATATTACTGTGTACCGTGTGTCATATTCTGTGGTACGTGTGTCATATTCTGTGTACCGTGTGTCATATTCTGTGTACCGTGTGTCATATTCTGTGTACCGTGTGTCATATTCTGTGTTTCCGTGTGTCATATTCTGTGTACGTGTGTCATATTCTGTGTACCGGGTGTCATATTCTGTGTACCGTGTGTCATATTCTGTGTACCGTGTGTCATATTCTGTGTACGTGGGGTCATATTCTGTGTACCGTGTGTCAATTCTGTGTACCGTGTGTCATATTCTGTGTACCGTGTGGCCCTATTCTGTGTACCGTGTGTCATATTCTGTGTTTCCCTGTGTCATATTCTGTGTACCATGTGTCCATATTCTGTGTACCGTGTGTCTATTCTGTGTACCGTGTGTCATTTTTCTGTGTCCATGTGTCATATTCTTGTTTCCGTGTGTCATATTCTGTGTACGGTGTGTCATATTCTGTGTACCGTGGCTATTCTGTGTTTCGTGTGTCTATTCTGCGTACCGTGTGTCATATTCGTGTACGTGTGTCATTTCTTGTACCGTGTGTCATATTGTGTACGTGTGTCTTTGGTAGTGTGTATATTCCCCGACCCTGTTCCCCTTGTTTTACCTTTTTTTTTATCTTTTCCAACCCCTCCCACAACCCTTTTCCCACAACCTCTCCCACAACCTCTCACTCTCACAACCTCTCACTCCCACAACCTCTCACTCCCACAACCTCTCACTTCCACAACCTCTCACTCCCACAACCCTCCTCCCACAACCCTCACTCTCACAACCTCCACTCCCACAACCTCTCCTCCCACAACCTCTCACTCTCACAACCTCTCACTCTCACAACCTCTCACTCCCACAACCTCTCACTCCACAACCTCTCACTCCCACAACCTCTCACTCTCACAACCTCTCACTCCCACAACCTCTCACTCCCACAACCTCTCACTCCCACAACCTCTCACTCCCCACAACCTCTCACCCCACAACCTCTCACTCCCACAACCTCTCACTCTCACAACCTCACTCCCACAACCCCTCACTTCTCACAACCTCTCACTCCCTCACAACCTCTCACTCCTCACAACCTCTCACTCCCACCAACCCTCACTCCCACAACCCTCTCACCTCCACAACCTCTCACTCCACAACCTCTCACTTCCCACAACCCTCCACTCCCACAACCTCTCACTCCCCACAACCTCTCACTCCCACAACCTCACTCCCACAACCTCTCACTCCCACAACCTCTCACATCCCACAACCCTCACTCTCACAACCTCTCACTCCCACAACCTCTCACTCCTACAACCTCTCACTCCCACACCTCTCACTCTCACAACCTCTCACTTACTCACAACCTCTCTCATCATCAAAACCTCTCCCACAACCTCTACTCTCTCAACCTCTCGACATCCCACAACTTCTCACTCCCAGATCTCTCCTCCAACAACTCATTCAACAAATTCCCCCACAACCCTCCCAGGGCCCCTCCACAACACCCCTCCCACGACCCTTCCCACAACCCCTCAGCCACACCCCTCCACAACCCCCCCCACGACCCCTCCCACAACCGCTCCCACGACGCTCCCACGACCGCTCCCACGACCCTTCCCACGACCCTTCCCACAACCCCCTCAGCCACAACCCCTCCCACGACCCCTTCCACAACACCCTCCCACGACCCTTCCACAACCCCTCACCAAAACCCCCCTCCCACGACCCTCCCACGACCCCTCTCACGACCCTTCACAAGCCCCCTCCCACGACCGCTCCCACGACCACTCCTCGCCCCTCAGAGGACCCCTCCCACGACCCCTCCCACGACCCCTCCCACGACCTCTCCCACGACCCCTCCCACGACCCCTCCCACGACCCCTCCCACGACCTCTCCCACGACCCCTCCCACGACCCCTCACATGCAACTTGTGCAAGTATCGTGTATTTAGGTGTTACGTGTCTCATGTAGTGTCTTGTCATATTGGTCACAAAATTCCACACCTTTATGACCCTCTTATGAATGAGGTCACCTGGAGTTCTGGCACTGTTTTGAGCCATCCTAGGGTCGTAGACAGTGTTTTGAACCATTCGGGAGTCGTAGACAGTGTAGTGATTTATCCACAGGTCGTAGACAGTGTCGTGAACCATCCAGTGGCCTAGACAGTGTCGTGAACCATCCAGGAATCGTATACAATGTTGTGAACCATCTAGGGGTCGTAGAAAGTGTTGCGATCCATCCAGGAGTCGTGGACAGTGTTGTGAACCATCCACGGGTCGTAGACTGTATTGTGAGCCATCCAGAGGTCGTAGACAGTGTTGTAAACCATCCAGGTGTCGTAGACAGTGTTGTAAATCATCCAGGGGTCGTAGACAGTGTTGTGAACCATCCAGAGGTCGTAGACAGTGTTGTAAACCATCCAGGTGTCGTAGACAGTGTTGTAAATCATTCAGGGGTCGTAAACAGTGTTGTGAACCATCCAGAGGTCGTAGACAGTATTGCAAACCATCCAGGGGTCGTAGACAGCGTTGTAAACCATCCAGGGGTCGTAGACAGTGTTGTAAATCATCCAGGGGTCGTAGATTCCCTCGAGCACCACCAGTGGTATAATCACTGACATATATATAATACCACCTCTAGTATATACAGTATACTGTTACATGCGCACCTCTTAGATGTAGTTAGATGATTATGATATACTCTCTCTCTCTCTCTCTCTCTCTCTCTCTCTCTCATCTCTCTGACTTCTCTTATCTCTCTCTCTCCTCTTACTCTCCCTCTCTCTCTCTCTCACCTCACTCTCTCCTCTCTTCTCTCTCTCTCTCCCTCTCTCCTCTCTCTCTCTGCTCTCTCTCTTCCTCTTCTCTCTCTCTCCATCCTTCTCTCTCTCTCTCTCTCTCTCTCTCTCTCTCTCTCCTTCTTCTCTCTCTCTCCTCTCTCTCTTCTCTCTCTCTCTTCTCTCTCTCTCTCTCTTATTTGCTTTCAGAGAAGTAAGAAAGGAGAATTAAAGAAAGCACATTAGGTAGCTTTTCAAATGAGGTTCATACTAAAGATTAAGTTAAATCACGAGACTTTAGAAGAACCTGGAGGGATTTACTGGTTCAGTTCTCAGAACCCCCCTTCAATATAACCATGTACAGCACCACTAGAGGAACAGCTATACAGATACTCTGCTGTCAGTCACACTGTCAACCAAATAACAGAAGCAACGTGTTATGAAGCAAGCTGGAAATAAGACTATCAAGTCTGTCATCCTTGTGATGAATGGTTTGAAAAACCGACAACTTGAAGATTGAGACACTTATGCAACATATGGGAATCTTTATTCGGGAAACGTTTCGCCACACAGTGGCTTCATCAGTCCAATACAAAGTAGAAAGGCGTAAGGAGAGGAGGAGTTTGAGGTAATCAGTCCCTCAGCATGGAGTCGATGTGTTCAGTCCATCAATCTTGCTGATTCCTTATTGAGTTTGGCTGATGTACTTCAGGAACGTTTCGCCTACAAAGCAGGCTTTTTCAGTCGAGTACAGAGGAATTTGCAGAGGCATTAAAGATGTGAAGACGATGTAATCAGTCCATCAGCCTTGAAGACGTAGTTTTGAGGTAGTCAGTCCCTCAGCCTGGAAGAAGAGTTTGGTTCCATAGTCTGGAACATTGTTCCAGACTATGTTCCGTGTGCCAGTAAACCCTTTTCACGTAACACGGAGGCGAAACACGACGGGTTCTCCGCCTTTCCTGGAACCTGCCACCCTTTTCCCCCCACCTGCAAATCCTGTCACTTTGCCTACAAACAAGCAGGTGTAAACAAGAAGTTGGCACCCTAGTGCCAGCAGCGCCGCCACTCGGCGGGGCGGTAAATTACGTCTCACTCGACCGTCACCCACCGTGCGGGTCGGAGGTGCTCTGTCGTGGGTGCCAGCGCTGGTGTCATGTTGCCCCGCCGCTCACTGGCAGTGCCCAGGCACTCCCCTGGCTGCCCTCGCTGACACTCACTCCTGCTGGCACTGGTGACAGCTGGTGGTGAGTGCCACCATGGCTAGTTACTCTAGCTACATGTACAACTGCCTCACTACTGACAGCTATGAGAACATTCCCAGGTATGAAGACATTCACAGATGTGTTAGAACATTGACAGGTGTGTTAGAATATTCACAGGTGTGTTAAAACATTCCCAGATATTCTGAAACATTCCCAGTTATCCTATAAACATTCTTAGTTATTCCAAAACATTCATAAGTTCAACAGAGTTCCAAATTAGGTCAAAAAATGCATGTGTGTCAAACGTTCCCACGTGTGTGGGAACATTCTCATGTGTGTCAAACGTTCCCACGTGTGTGGGAACATTCTCAGGTGTGTCAGAACATTCTGATGTGGGTCACAGGATTCCCAACTGTGTCGGAACATTCCGCATTGGATTACTTGATCGAAGCTCGACTGCGTAGCGCCACAACGGAATACCAGCGTTGTGGTACACCCTGTTGTAACGGTACAACGGAACCTGATTGCTGTTTACCGTTGAGGGATGTAGCTTCTTAACAGAACCCCACCGTTGTTTGCACCATTGTTTCGGGAAGTTTATCAGTCAGAACAACAGAAAACCAACAGTATCGTGTCCACCGCTGCGTCGTGAAAACAGTTGGGTTATTTACTAACAGTTAGACCAACTGTTCAATGAGAAGAGCGGTTAAATCAGTGCTGGTGACGGTAGCAGCAGCGTGTAGACGGTGACCTTCCAGCAGCAACAGTCGGAAGAGTCAGCAAATGTCGACTCGCCAACGATATGTGAAATATTAAAGACGTGAGTCATGACACTAGTTGCTGACTGCTTCCTCAGTGCCAGAGTGAATCACGGCAGTAGTTGCTGACTGTTGGTGTCAAGTGTACATTGGTGCCACAATGGTGTCATGCACATGTGTCATACATTGATGCCACATTAGTGTCATACATTGGTGCCACATACACCGGTGTTGTATAATGGTGCCACTTACACCAGTATCATATATTGGTGCCACAATGGTGCCATACATTGGTAACATACACTGGTGTCACAATTGTGGTATGCATTGGTGTCTCAATGGTGCCATACATATGTGTCACAATAGTGTCATTAGTATCATACAATGGTGCCATACATTGGTGTCATATATTGATGCCACAATGGTGTCATACATTCGTGTCATAAATTAGTCCATTACATTGGTGTCATAAATTGGTGCCATACTTTGGTGTCATTGGTGCCATACATTGGTGTCACAATGGTATACACTGGTGCCACATTTGTGTCATTCATTGGTGCCAAATCGGTGTCATACATTGGTGTCACAATGGTATCATATACTGGTGTTATATATTGGAATCATACACTGGTGTCACATTGGTGTCATACATTGGTGTCATGTATTGGTGTCATGTGTTGGTGTTAAGCATTGGTGTCCTAATGGTGTCATATGGGTGTCACAATGGTGTTATACATTGGTGTCATAATGGTGTCATATTGGTGTCACATTGGCATCACATTGGTGTCATACATTGGTGTCATATGTTGGTCCACTGGTTCATAACCACCACTGGCTCATCACCACCACTGGTGGTTCATCACCACCACTGGCGGTTCATCACCATCACTGATTCACTAGCACCACTGGTTCATCGTCACCACTGGTTCATCACTACGACTGGTTCACCACCACTGGTTCATTACCACCACTGGTTCATCAATGGTTTACCACCACTACTGGTTCATCACTACCACTGGATCACCACTACCACCATAAGTGGTTAATCCCCACCACTGGTTCACCACCATAACTGGTTACTCCCCATCACTGGTTCATCACCAACATTGGTTCATCACCACATCTGGTTCATCACCACCACTGATTCACCAGACTGGTTCACCAGCATCATTGGTTCATTAACACTCCTGAAACAATCACCACCACTGGTTTTATCATCACCCCTAGTTCACCACCACCACTGGTTCACCACCACCACCGGTTCACCACCACCGCTGGTTCATCACCACCACTGGTTCATCGCCCCTGGTTATGCCAGCTTTCGGCAAATTAGCCAATTTTGCCCCAGGATGCGACCCACACCAGTCGACTAACACCTGGGTACCTGGGTACCTAATGTTTCCACGCGTACCGGGCATCGACCCCTGGAAGTCAGTGTGTGAGCTGAATGAGCTACGGTAGTATCCCCACTGTTACGTACATAGATATTGTCGACTCTGGAGTTTATCTGGAGAGAGTTCCGGGGGTCAACGCCCCCGCGGCCCGGTCTGTGACCAGGCCTCCTTAGGTCAGTGTCCCAGGATGCGACCCACACCAGTCGACTAACACCCAGGTACCCATTTTACTGATGGGGAACATAGACAACAGGTGGAAAGAAACACGTCCAGTGTTTCTACTCTGGCTGGGAATCGAACCCAGGCCCTCACCGTGTGAAGCGAGTGCGTTAACCACCAGGCCACCAGAGCCCTGGCTAAGTAAACCCCGTTTGTGTGCTCTAACTGGATTACGTATTTGACTCTGCTGATTAATAATATTCCTTGTTATTAATTTTTAATAATTCTATTCCATGCTCATGTTTGGTACAGTAGACCTTTGACTACCAGTTTTGCAGTTATGTCTGATAGTGTTGACGCTTAGGGTAGTGTTTTGAGATGTGCTGCAGGTATCCTCTCTCACTCGTCCTCTTCCACCTACGCTCACGACTGTCATTCATCATACTACCAAGATATGTTCTTTAGTGTTCAGATATTTATTTTTTTTACTAATACATTAGCCACTTCCCACCAAGGCAGGGTGACGCCTTGGGGTTGGATTTGAGTGGGACTTTCACATCAGAGCTTATTTCTTGGGTGGCATTGAAAATTGGGTTGGGCAAATGTTTTGTTAGTGGAATGAATTGTAAAGGACCTGCCTAGTATGGGCCAGCAGGCCTCCTGCAGTGTTCCTCCTTTCTTATGTTCTTATGTTCTTATGTTCATTTTCATCATTCACTCCATCACTGTCTTGCCAGAGGCGGGTTTACATTATAGTTATAAAACTGAAACATTAACACCCCTCCTTTAGAGTGTAGACACTGTACTTCCCATCTCCAGGACTCACGTCCGACCTGCCGGTTTCCCTGAATCCCTTCATAAATGTTACCTTGCTCACACTCCAACAGCACATCAAGTCATGAAAACCATTTGTCTCCAATTGCTCCTATCTAACACGCTCACACGTGCTTGCTGGAAGTCCAAGCCCCTCGCACACAAAACCTCCTTTGCCCGCTCCCTCCAACCTTTCCTAGACCGGCCCCTTATCCCGCCTTCCTTCTACTTCTATTTTATGTAAACAGACTTATTACAGGCAACATCAGCAGTGCCTAAGGATGATGGGTGCTGCTTCATATTTCCCCCTGGTTGCTTGTTATTATTTTTTTATTGTAGTTATTTATTAATTATCTTATTCTTTCCCTTCTCTCATCTGTTTACTGATCACTCGCTAATCTGGCCTGATTTTCCACTTTACTTAGGAACACACCTCGTCCTGCTGGGATTTGTAATTATATAACTTGTGGCACCTCCAGCCTGGCACCACGCCTGCTGCTGCCTTCCCCCGCCTCCCACTTGGCACTTTCAAATTGACTTATAAAATTATGGGCTTCACCTCGCTTTTCTGACTTTGGGTACTTTGTAACTGTCACAATTCATTGATCTCTGCAGTGGCTTTGGGAGCCCAGAAACGCTACAAGTTAGAAACTAATGTTATTGTTACTCCCGCCACCGCGGAATGTATATTCAGTAGTTTGTATACGGTCGTGTGTCTACAACAGTGTGTAAACAAGTGTGTATACAGCAGTGTGTGTACAGCATTGTGTATTCAGCAGTGTGTGTACAGCAGTACTCACCTAATTGTGGTTGCACTGGTCGAGACTCAGCTTCTGTCTCCGCCTCTTCACTGATTGCTGCTAGGTCCTCTCTCTATCTGCTCCCTGAACTTTGTCATACCTCGTCTTAAAGCTATGTATGGTTTCTGCCTCCACTACATCACTTGCTAGACTATTCCACTTCCTGACAACTCTATGACTGAAGAAGTACTTCCTAACATCCCTCTGACTCGTCTGAGTCTTCAGCTTCCAGTTGTGACCCCTTCTTGCTGTGTCCCCTCTCAGGAACATCCTGTCTCTGTCCACCTTATCTATTCCACGCAGTATTTTGTATGTCGTTATCATGACTCTCTTGACCCTCCTGTTCTCCAGCGTCATCAGGCCGATTTCCCTTAACCTTTCTTCGTAGGACATTTCCCTGAGCTCCGGAACTAGCCTTTTTGCAAACTTTTGCACTTTCTCTAATTTCTTGACGTGTTTGACCAGGTGTGGGTTCCAAACTGGTGCTGCATACTCCAGTATGAGCCTGACGTACACAGTGTACAGTGTCTTGAACGATTCCTTACTAAGGTAACGGAATGCTATTCTCAGGTTTGCCAGGCGCCAGTATGTTGCAGCAGTTATCTGGTTGATGTGTGCTTCCGGAGACGTGCTCGGTGTTATGCTCACCCCAAGAACTTTCTCCTTGAGTGAGGTTTGCAGTCTTTGGCCACCTAGCCTATACTCTGTCTGCGGTCTCTTGTCCTTTCCCCAGTCTTCATGACTTTGCATTTGGCGAGGTTAAATTCGAGAAGCCAGTTGCTGGACCAGGTGTTCAGCCCGTCCAGGTATCTTTTTAGTTCTGCCTGATCCTCATCTGATTTAATTCTCCTCATTAACTTCACATCATCTGCGAACAGGGACACTTCTGAGTTTATCCCTTCCATCATGTCATTCACATATACCAAAAATAGCACTGATCCTAGGACTGACCCCTATGGGACCATGCTCGTCACAGGTGCCCACTGTGATACCTCATCACGTACCATGACTCGTTGTTGTCTCCCTGTCAGGTATTCTCTGATCCATTGCAGTGCCCTTTCTGTTACATGCGCCTGATCCTCCAGCTTCTGCACTAATCTCGTGTGAGGAACTGTGTCAAAGACCTTCCTGCACTCCAGGAAAATGCAATCAACCCACCCCTCTCTCTTGTGTCTTACTTGTGTTATCTTTTCAT